CTACTAAATCTAGTATTCTAAGTGTACTTTACTGCCGTTGAGTGGTTCGCTGACACTGTGATTTTAGGTACCGATACACCGGTGAGTAAGATTATTCTATCTTGGGAGGATATATTTCATTAACCTCGGGTACTTGAGGGGAATAATATCCTTAAGGGGACACTGTGCATTCAGTGGATTCGATTTTCTTTCTTTGAGAAAAAATATTTTTATATTGTTTCTAATCTGTTTCTGATTCTATTTTCTTTACTAGTTTTAATTTTCTAGTTTGAAAATACTCTTTAAAATTTGTTGTTTCTTACCATGTTCTTCAAAGTTTTGTTCTAAATATCTTAGGAATACAAGATGAACAACACAGTCAACACTAGCCGTTATGAAACAGTCCCCAAAAGCAATGTCGGACATTACTCTTCTCATCCTTAAATGTCATTTAATTAAATTATTTGTAATGACTCATGAGTTATGAGAGTTATTTTTAAAAAAAGTAATTACTCCTATAAAAGAGTAGAATCACCACATTTTAAATCAAAAAATTCTTTTACTAAATACTTCATTTCTTGTCTAGCAATTTTGTTACTTGTTCACCAGTTTTGAGCAATCTTCAAGCTTGTTTGGGGATATTTCCATCAAAGATATCATTGGGTTCAGGTCAACACATGCTACATTTGTTTAATATTATTTAATACAGTCAATTTGTCTTATCCATTTCTTATTTACAATTTTAATATTTATGTATTTCTCCATCTCAATCAATTCAATCCACATGTCATTCAAACCTCACATATAAATTCAACGGAAAAGGGTCAAAATGCCCTTAAACAATGTGAAATTGAACAAAAATGTCCTCAATTAATAGTTTGGTCTAAAAATACCTCTACAATCAATAGTTTGGTCTAAAAATACCCCTATCGATAATAATTTGATCCAATAATTCCCATATTGTTACTAAATGGGTCAAAATGCCTTTTTACTAATAATATATTTATTTATATTCTTTTTAAACGAATTTTATTCTTAATAGAAACATTACTTTACTTATAAAGAATCATATTTTGTTTCTTTCTTTTGAATCACTTTAACTAATAAATAAGTAAGAAGTAATTTTTTTTTCTTGATCTCATTTTATTAATTAAAATAAACTAACTTCATGCACATTTTTGACTGAATATAGGTCATATATATAAGACCATAGTAATCACATCATATTTTCATTTAGATAACGATAAAAAAATTCTAATAACATAGAAAATATTTTTATTTCTTAATCTTTTTCAAATTGAAGTAGGATAAATATTTTCTAATAAAAAAGTTATTATTAAAATGAGAATGTGACTAAAAAGAAAACAAATAATATATTTATTTCAAAAAGGATATTTTTAACCCATTAAGTTGCATTTTTTACCAAACTATTGACAACAAGCATATTTTTAGACCAAACTATAAACTGAGGGAATTTTTGTTCAATTTCACATTATTTAAGAACATTTTAACCCTTTTTCTGTACATTTAGTTGTACTTTTTTGGGTTAAATAGTTTGGTGCCCACTGTGGAGCTAAGGATAATTGTGGTATTATTGTATTGATCTTATTGAACTGATAATCACAAACTTTGTCTTTGTGATGCTAACCAATCAATTGACCCAAGGTATATGTGGGCACACATATACCTTTAAAACACACTATTAAATAGTGCATGGGGTAAAAGGTCATGCCCAAAGTTTGAGATTGTTACAACAATTTTGATCAAAATTCGAATATATTTCGAACGCTTTTTCCAAACAACAAAATTAATTTGGTATTATAGACTTGAATCACAAATGGGGAGGAAACTTCTCCACAAGCATCTCAACGTGATAATACACAACATAGTGAGAGCAATAATGATCAAGATATGGTTAGAGTCGTCTTATTTGACAGTCACATTCCAAAATACCCTTAGACGTGATTGACATTCCGCTAATACTATTTGTTGGGCGAATCAAATATTTATACATTTACCCAAATTATTTAAGCACTAAGATAGAATATGTGCACTCCAAAATTCATCAATACTCATTAAGATGAAACAATTATCCAACCAAAATTGTATATTGATTTATGAAAAGAACAGTCACTTAAATAAAATATTTCAAGCCCAAATCTCATAATAAGACCATGAAGCACCTAACATAGTTACATGAGTTCAACTGTTGGGCATGCAAACCCCCATAAAAGAAGATGTAAGTTATAAATAAATAGAGATGAAACAGTAGCCTCTAGGAACAATATGAAGGCTCAACTCAATAGCAGAATTCACTGACTCAATGGAATCATCAGATTTCCGAAAAGAGGTCAAATCAGGGAATTACCCTCCCGGACCACTCTTTAGGCATAAAACTCAACTTCTAGCCCAAGCGCCTAAAACTCAACCCAAGGCCTCGGAAACTTGACCAACCACCTTACTAGCTCAAACTTGACGTTCCGAGCGCAATGGAACTAACGGAATCTCCATCCGATGCTCGAAATTCGAAATGTTGACCAAAGTCAACTATAACAATAATACTCAACTCAAAAGGATCAAAATTACCAAAAACACACTTGATCGCATCGAGGATCACACCAACCATTCTCGCAGCACAAACTAAGCATGAACACGGTAAGGAGTAGGGCAGAATAGTCATTTCACAATTAAAAGTAAATTCACAAGAAATAGGACAATACACCTCCTAATGAGAGGTACCAAAAAAATTATTTAGTAATCCTCATGTATAAACATCTAAAGTACCAATAAATTATGTATTACTTTTTAGTTAGGAAGAATACAAAAATGCTCCTACCAAAAAAATATTAGGGCGAGTTGATTAGACAGGACATGACGTAAAAAAAATATAAAAAAAAGACAGGACATGACGTAACTTCATATAACTAAGGACATGACCTTAGATAAGAATGAGTAACGGTCACATATTGAGATAGAAGGTTAGTAGGGGTAGAGTGTTGTCTTGCCTTGCTATTGTTATCTATCAGCATATGTTGTGTATTCTGTTTCGATTATGACATTATTTTGTTGTTGATATTGTTTGTCTTGTAAACTCTACACCTCATTTTGTATCAACTGGTATGCTTTTTTCTGTTCTCTTCTTCTTTTATTTGAGTTTGATGCTCTTGAGCCGATGATCTTTCGAGAAAATTCTCTCTACCTCCATGAGGAAATGATAAGGTTTGTGTATACTCGACCCTCTCCAAAACCCATTAGTAGAATTTCACTAGGTATGTTGTTGTTTATGATGAACTTGGAAAGAAACTTAGTTTATAAAGAAAATGGTCAAATGCCCTCTAACCTATATTCCAATTATCAACTACACACTTCAAGTTTACAGGGGTCCTATCACCCCTCCCCCTGAATTGTTTATAATTGAAACTATTATCTCCCTAAACGTTTACTTGGCAAAGTGAGTGTATCTCACTCTCTTAAACAGAAAGAAGACCAAAAACCAATATTAAATTTTTATTTTTATTTTCTTAAATATATGTATCTTTTTTCTTTCTTTTTTTCTTGATTTTTTTCTTCTTCATAGCAATTGGATTGAGCATCAATGGTAGCACCAAATTTCTTCACTATTTTGAAACCATTGCTATCACTACATTAATGATACACCACAAATCGTTTATAGCAATTTCACTCATTACTCTCCACAATCAAGAATTATATATCAAAAATCTTTTAAATCAAAGCAAATTTAATCTTGGATAAGCTTAATACAGGGATACCCAAATAATTTTCTTCAATAAACTTTGAATACTAAGATAATTTTTTATCCTATATTTAATTCCTAGCAGACCCACTACTAATTTTAATAACTGGACAATTTCCAGCAAATCTGAAAAGTTCAGCACGTGTTCTTCATCTTCTTCGTTCCATTGTTCTGAAAAACCACTCTAAATCTTCTCCAAATTGTCCTAAATTTTAGATATAAGTTTCCCTCAATATTTCGATTCTTTTGATATATTACCCACTCAAAAAGGTGCTCGTTGTAGCAAGTTGAATTTTAGCTCAAGCTTTTGAACTAACTTTAATGGAGGTTTCAAGTTAATGCTTCGCATTTTAAACCATGAGCTTCAGTTTTCAATTCTCAAACATAAAGAACTCTTCAAACCATCTCAAAGTTGCTCCCACTTCAAGAATATAGATTCAATAATTTCATATGAAAGCTTGTCGATCTCCATGAAATTCCGATGTTTCTTTAAATCTAAAAATCGCAAACCATAAACTCAATCAAACTCAATGTATTTAGCTTCAAATAATTAGCAACCATCTATATTATCAACATGTTTCAAATTTGAAGATCCAACATACATTCATAAACTTATGTTTTGACCTTAAATTGTTTTTAAAAAAAAATAATAAGTCAGAAAGGGAGAAGAATAAAAAAAGTAAAAATAAATAAATTTCACATTGCATGAGTTTCACCCATTAGCATAGATGTGATTATGACGTTTTAAGGGTGTGATAATTTCAATTTTAAACAGTTCAGATGGGTGATAGTACTCCCGTAAAGTTAAAGTATGCAGTTGAAAATTCAAATATAGATTAGGTAGGCTTTTGACCATTTTCTCTTAAAATTATGAATGAAGGGTGCTTTTATAATATATAAAAGTTTAAGTTAATTTTTAAACTTAAAAAATTTACAAATAATAAAATTTTACCCAAATACTAATTTTTTCTAGTAATTGCAATTTGAATTATTGCCAAAAATATTTAACAAATAATGATAAATTGTGTGGCCTAACAATTTTTGTCAGGTTCATTTCCAAATATTTTTATAAATGTCTATAGCCAAATGGGTCATACTAGTTACACACTAGTAAAGCAAGAAATTGTTATTTCCACAAAGCATTCTTCATACAAAAGTTTGATATTATGGAACAAAAGCGACTACAGATATATCAAAAAACATTATTGGCATAGATTCCAGAAGCTCATTGTAGAGCCACAACACTTGGGAGGCAGTAGTGATAAGCTTAAAGAGCATTGAGGATTTCATCAGCACCGGAGACTGTGAACTCCCCTCCAGATTCGATGTTGGCTACTTTCACCTCAAGGTCATCAACCAAAAGAGCATACCTTCGTGATCGAACACCAAGCCCCTTATCCGACAGATCAAGCTCCAAACCAAGGGCATGGGTGTATTTTCCAGCTCCATCAGCAAGAAATTTTACATGTTTGTTCTCAGGGTAAGTTTTTGCCCAGGCCTTCATCACAAAGGGGTCATTGACTGCACAAGTAATGCAAACATGGAATAAGATATCATGACGGGGTACACGCATCTAATGGGCATGGGGTGCCGGTTGATGTTATGGATAGCTGCACACTTGTACAAGGCTGGTTATGGATAAAGTTCCAATATTTATCGTGCAGATTAGGATTATGTTGATGTGATCATTCATTTATTAAATATAATATTTGAGCATACATAAATATGTCTTACTTAGGGGTGGCAAAATTTAACTCAAACCTGTCCAACCTTTGCGGTGATTCTACGGGTTGGGTCATGGCCTGTTCTTGAGTTGACCCAACGTGTTGTAACCCAAACTAACCCATCTTCTACATGGGTCATTTTGGGTTCAATAATCAACTCATAAACTCAATAGCAATGTAACAACGTTCAGCTTCAGAGAAGGTGAACAACATCCAGTGGATCTACTGCTTTTGCTTTCTGTAAGCTATCATTATATGATTGATGCAAAAAGGTAATTTTCTAGTTGTTATTCTTTTACATAGTAAACTTTTTTTATGAAATTGTTCGAACACAGAACTGATTTTGGGATTTTGTTCGTCGTCTGAACTTGGGTATTATGGATACAATTTATTTGTTTTTTAAGAGTAATATATATTTTATTCAGATACAGCTCTCTGCAATTTGAGTTCTATCTTTATTTAAAGTGAAAGTCATGTGGGAATCAGTGGTAGATCAAATTAGTTTAACAAACTGAAGGTCATCTTATCACTGCATTATCTACTTGGGCGGGTTAGGTTATAACCTGCAATTTAACCCATTATGACCCAACCCATTTGGGACCCAAATATATTTTGAGCCGGTTGGGTTGTGACCCATTCACTAACCTAACCCATTTTGACCCACCAAAATTTGACTCAGCCCACACATTTGCCATCCCTATTCCTACTCATACCATTTTGATATGTGGATTACTTGGACTATATTAGTGCACTTCATTATTCTCATCTATAATAACTGCACATCAAAATTTTCAGAAAGTACTTTTGTATCAAGACCTCACCTCTATTTCCTTGGGCACCATCAGTGATATAATCGAGTACTTCCCGTACTCACCCCCTCACTTTTTTCCCCTATGAGCAGATTTAAATTTGAGCACCTATGAACCGCGTGAGAGAGTTCTAGAGTTGGCTATAGTTGGTGGTGAGCTATCAACTTTCTTCGCGATGGCTAAAGTTGTATAACTTTACTATATAGTTCTTTACGGAAAGTGATGTACTATTCGGCTCATAGTAGCTCATGATTCAGTTTGTACCCAATTTTGAGGATTCTTTTTGGTATTTTTGCCTTGTGGCTTGTATCACTTGTGAATAATATCATCTACAGTATTCCCTTGTTTAGTCTTTTTTTTTTGTGCGGAACCTAAGTGATGTGATAAAAGACGAAGTTGACCAAAATAATGGGCAAAAATTTAAGTTTCTTAAAACTACCTATAACACACTAATTTGGTGCTCTATATGACCCCAATTAACGGACCAAGCCTTAACGGCTGTCAAGGTTAATGAAGCCTATAAGTGAACTAATTTAGTATGCTACATAACTCCTAAAACATTACTCCGACACTTGGTTATTAGGGATGTTTTGCAAGTTCATAGTTATTTTGTTTAAAACAACTAACTAGTATCTTATTAAGTAATCAAATAAACTACCAACTAACTAATCTTAAGCCCTATAATATAGCACACTTGACTAATCTCGATGATGATCCCTAGTGCTATCTTTTGGTGTTTATGGACAGAGAGGAACAAAAGATGTTTTTGATGGAGTTTCAACTTCTAGAAATCTTTTGCGAGGCAAATGTCTAGTTGGCCTTTTTAGCTGGTCCAAATTGACCCCTATAAAAAAATCTTGATGCCTTTAAATGAATCCACTTACTTCATCCCAAAAAAAAAAAAACCTAAACCTATCAAAAGAAATCTAGTGTTGACTAATATTTTGTTAGTTACAAACAAAAAATAACCAAGTCCAGGAGTTATATAGCACTCTAATTTAGTGCGCTGACCATTGACCTACTGGACAGCTGTCAAGGAGTGGTACGCTAATGAGGTTATAAAGTGCACTAAACTAGTGCACTATATGTACCTTTGGAACCTTTAGCTTTGCTCATTATTTCGGTCAACTTTGTTTTCTTTCACGTCACTTAGATTCCAGACTCATTTTTATGTATTGTTGGGAATATCGATGTTGTTTTGAATTGCTTGGTTCTCTCAACATGGGACATTGAAACCAATCACGTGGTTCGCTCAACATGGGACATTGAATACCAATCAGAACTTCGTAATTTTGACAGTGAGACCAGGAAGGCACCACTCTTCTGGCAATTTATATACCAATCATGACATTTGACAAATGTAGTCAAGGGAAAAGGTGGTAGTGGCAATAAGATATGATCAAGTAACTCTGCTGATGGGGAGGAGCTGACGTACCAAGACATGCTAATCTGATAATCTTAATTGGCCCAACTTTTAACTCAACAAGCCAGCTCAGGATTCAAGTATACTGATATTTTGCTTGCTATCTACACACACCTACACTCTTTTCCCCTCCATTACTTATAAATTGCAAAAGATATCAGCAGAGTAAAACAAATAGTGAGAAAAGAAACTTGTCCCTACTTCTGAGCCTTCTAGCTGTGCTTTTTTCCCTCTAAATTATGCAACAAATGAAGGGTGGAAACTTTGCAGAACTCCACATTAAGCTCACATATAGGAAAAAATTGAAGAAGACATGAAGCATGATGGTGGTTACGCAATGGTGAACTAGACGATGAGGGTAGTTCTTTAAGAACAATAAGAAGAGCATTAACTCCCGAGAGTTTCAACCCACCCCAGAACAAATTCTCAAGTCCTTGTGCTTATTGTTACGAGTAAAACAATGAAAAATCATATATTGTTTTCCAAAGCTTTAAAATGCAATGAGGATTAAATTTTGAATTTTTCGAACCAAAAAGAAAAAAGAAATACAAAGCTTCCAGTCCGTCTTATTTTTAGGTAATTATGAAATTTCATCACAAATATTCAACTTTAGTTCATTTTTAGACTCTTAGCAAAATTTATTGAGAACTTGATTGGTGGTATCTTCCATATAACCACGTGAAATCTTTCCAAAAAATATATTTTCTGCAAAAGAGCAAAAAACTCAAATCATAGGAACTTTCAATCGCTAAGAGGCTTTCTCAGATCTTAAGGGTAAATGTTTACTGATCACTAAGTTGAATCAGCAAGTACATGAACCACTGCGAGAACAGACACCGACAGTGGCAAACTTTTCAATAAAGGGTTCAAAATCTGAAGAAATAGACCTACGAAATAGTCCAAAGAGGTTCGACATCTGCTATATATACCTAAAAAAATATATTTTAACCATGTATAAATAATGCCGAAGAACCCCTAGCAATCCGCCACACTGAACAAAATAAAAATCATAGAAAAACCCAGACAAGATTAAAAAAAAAAAAAAAAACTTGTTGGAATTGTAAACTTTAGCTATAATTTCAAGGGGGGAAGTTAAACAAAGAAACAACAAAAAAATAAAGATAGATGGAGAAGAAAGATACCACTGATGCAGAGGATTTCATCGACGCCCTTTGACTTCAACTCGTCAGCCTTTTCAATAAAGCCAGGCACATGCTTCATGCTGAATATAAGAATTTCACAGTTCAATATCATAGATCGGATTGTGGATTCATTAGAAAAAAAGAAGAAATAAAATAGAACCTGCAAGTGGGAGTGAAAGCTCCAGGAACGGCGAAGATAATGACCTTCTTGCCCTTAGCAAGTGAGTGTACTGAGACGGTCTGCATCTGATCTTGCTCGTCGAAGTAAGATACGGTACCATCGGGGATGACGTCACCAACGGCGATCGGAGCCATTTTTCTGCTACTTAGGTCGAGATGAGATTGCGCAGTGATGACAGATATTTGTTGAGCTTCCTGCAAAGGTGAAGGCCAATTATATATATATTAAGTTTTGAGGTTCGTGGGATTTATATATATTATTATAAATAATTAAAGCTAGGTGAATTTGGAAAAATTACATAAATACATACATAACTTATTTATTATATTCTCTAAAATTTCTTATCATTTGCAAAAATTACAAAAAAAAATATTTGAAATTGAGACGCGATGTATCGAGACATTTTGAAATGTATTTGAATTCCACCAAATTTAGAAAAATTTTGTAATTTGAAAATGAGTAAGGATATGATGTAATTAACTTTTAACACTATGAGATTTGCGTAAAATCTATTTTAATAGACTCACATTTTTAAAATTTAATATATTTATTTATTTTTATTATGAATAAAATAATTTATAATTACATACATATTCATAAATTTTTTAAAGAATTATATTAAATTACATCATAAACGGACAAAGAATAAAAGTTATCAAGTCCGGCTAAAGTTGATAGGCATTTAATTGACGACATCATAAATGGATATGTACAGTAGTAGTTATAGGTTGGACGGCAGCTTCTTCCCTAATCTAAAAGACTTGTTTGGCAGGGAGTATTTTTTACTTTCTTTTTTTCAATTATCATTATTTATTATTTATAAATTAGTATTTAGCAATAAAAATTTCAAATGTAATTTAAAGTTGTATTCTAAATTTGAAAAAACACTCTAAATCTCTTTTCACTTTTATTATATATATTTTTCAAATTTTATCCTAACTTTTTATATTTTGAAAAATAACTCTATTTTGAAATATATTTCATGTTTAAATAATATTTTAAAAGTACGTTCGAATAGCTAGGGGTGTATATAGACTGAATTGGTTTGGGTTTTTAAAATACTAAATCAAATTATTTGTGTCGGATTTTTAAATCTATAAACAAAATCAAACCAATAATACTCAGGTTTTTCATCCTCGTTTATTTTTGGGTTTTAGGATTTTCTCGATAAAGTATTCATATAAATATAATTAACTTGTGGTTCAAATAGTTTTTTAGTCCTATCAAAATATAATATGAGTGACGACATTAAAATATCCAACAAAAACTAATAATGAAATCGCATAAAACAAATATTGTAAATAAATAAGTCCTAGAGAAAATGATCATAATTTAAAAATACTAAATTACACTAAAATAAGTATAATGAGCATAATTTACATGCCTAAGTATTAAGGGGTTTGCCTTCTGGGTCGAGCTCGTCGCATCGGACTTGCCTAGTGCGGGTTACCTCTCCTATGTGGTTTGCGAGCTATTGCATAGGAGCGGGGGTTTTACCCTGTGCGCACCCAAAGGATAGCGGCTGCGGATTTTCCTTGTCATTAAAAAAAAAGTATTAAAGAAAAACTAAACTTAGATTATGTATTTCAATTGAGTAAACCATTGTAAAACTAAAGAAGAATACTCAATATTATAATTTTTCTCAATGTTGAATTGCTTTTTTTTTTTTGTTAGTTTTAGTATTGATTTGAGCTCTATTAAAGTGGCTAATATATATGGACTATAATTTTTATTGGATCATTTAAAATTTTAAGTCAAACTTAAAATAATACGTTAAAAAATAAAATTTATAAAAATGTATAAGAAATATTTATAAATTATATCAAAGTAAATAATTTTGTATATAAAATAAATTTTAAAAATTATATATATAATGTTGAGTTGGTTTGGTCTCGAGTTGTCATTTTTAAGTTAAAACTAAACCAACTCAAGTATAATCAATGTGTTTTTCTCCAATACTAATCAAGTCAAACTAAACCGCTAGCCAAAAGAAATTTCTCAATTGCAATTGATGTGATTTTCAGTTTGATTTTATTCGCCCCTTCAAACAATCAAATATAATGCAAAAATTATAATCAAAACTTTATATTTTTTCGTAGTTTGATCAATAAAAGATTATCATGACAGTTATTTATTGAAGTTCGCGGGAGGAAAGGGGGATTTATATCTCTCTACTCTTCTCGTAGCTTGATCGATCAAGGATTTTGATAGACAAATATTTGTTGAGGTTCATGCTAGGAAAAGGAATGCAATTGATTTTTTAATATTAAAAAAATGATTTTTTTTTTAAATTTTTATTATTAGTAAAATAAGTTGTAATTATACAAATATAAATTATAATTATTTTTTAAAATTGTATGTCTACTATAAATTATAAATTATATCATCTCATAGACAGACATTATCTATCAAAGAGTAGGTTGGCAGCCTACAATTGTATCAAGTCTACCTAATAAAGATTTGGTGTCCGAATTTGGTGTAGGAGTTAACAGGTGCATCGATGTCTTGTTGGACCATATTGAATGGCCTCATCATCATCAGTGAATATATATGGTACTCCCTTCGTTTAATTTTATTTATCACACTTTGATGTAAGTATTTTATCAAACTATTCATATTAAATGATATCTTGAAAAATGACTTGTAAAATAAGTATTTAATATTGATGGCAAAATATGAAAAAACAATTATTATCTTTTTTTTTATATATTAAAAATGACAAATAAAAATGAAAATGACAAGTAAAAGTGAACGAAGGGAGTAGTATATATAGTAGTCTAGAAGAGTAGATTAGCATCTTTTTAACTAAATACTTGAAATATGAATCTTCGAATATCGATTTATTTTATTTTATTGCCAAAAAAAATATCGAAAAGATTACCGACCCAATTTGGCTATGAGTATTTTTTATTTTTTAAAAAAATAATTATTTTAATTTAAAATCAGTGTTTAATTATAAAAAATTAATATGATTTGAGATTGGGAAAAGGATCAAGAATTACCCCTAACCTATTGGAAATAACTCAAATATATCCTCCTTCCACCTTTTAATCTAAAAATACCCTCCACCTTTGTTTTTGGTTCAAAGATGCCCCAAGTTTAATTTAATTGAATTCTTTAACTAATTAGTTAATTTTCTTATTTGTTCTAAAATATAATTTCTTAAATTATTTCAAATTCTTGATATTAGTTCATATCTTTATATTAAAAATATTTAAGTCTAAAATATGAAATAAAGAATCTATTGTGTAAAAATAAAGTATTTTTTTTTATTATTACAATAACACAATAAAATTCTTAGTCATATTCTTCATTTTTACACAATAAATTCTTTATTTTATTTTACATTTTATACACTTTTATTTTATATTTTAATTTTTGAAACATATTTTTAATTTATTTAATTATATTCAAATCATCATATTAAAATTTAATTATATCAATATTTGATATTTTCTTTGATTTACTTTTTAATAAATAAGCACTACACTCAATTTTCCTCTATTCTATTCAATATAATTTACGCTTGTGTAACGACCAGTTTCCGTCGTTATAGAAAAGCCAACAGAGAAAAATTTTGAGCTGAAAAACTTTTTCGTAGTAACTTGGAATTTCCCAACCTAGTCCAGATTTGGACGAAATCGGAGTCAGTAAGGTCTAGGAAAATCTGGTAGTAATTGGGTGATCTAATCATGATTTTGATCGCATGAGTAGATAGCTAAGACGTTAAGAAACCTGTACGACTTTACGGAATTGAATTCGGGCGAGTAGAACTCCTGAAACTGATCTTAGCGTGAACGGGCGGGTAGTTTCTGAGTGTCATTGGTTGAAGGTGTGTTGTGAAATGGGGGTTTTGGAATTCTTTATTTAGCTCTCTGTTTCTGTGCAAGCCGCTAAGGCGGGATTATTCCCGCCAGGGAGGACCGTTGTAGCGGGGTGAGGACCGCTGTGGCGGGCCAGTTGCGAATTAAGTCGAAAATAAACCCCAAAAATGTTTTATTCTGCACTTTTCAACTTTGAGAGCTAGGAGACGACCCCAGGCGAGTTCTTGACCATTTTTCACCATTCTTGAGGCTAAAGGTAAGGTTTTAACTCCCCGAATCCGTCTTTCGATCCGTAGAACGTAAACTAGTGGGTAATTATTGATGGGGGAGGGTTTTGATTTGAAATTTATGGTGGAAAAAACCCTAATTTGGATATTGGGATCATGGGTTTGATCTAGGGTTGTTAAAGTTGATTGTAATCCGGGTAATTAGACATCATTTATTGATTCTCATGTTATATTAATTGTTTGTAGACCAAAAAAAGCGGAACGAATACGGAAAGGGAAGAATCAAGTTTCTTAGGGGATTCAAGCTTTGTCTGAGGTAGGTGATGATTGTGATTTCATGTTGTGTGATGTATGTTTGTTCTTGCTTCATTATAATACATGTATGTATGCGAATGTTGCATTATTGATTACACTAATTGTAAATGAGGATAGATGAATGATGAATGTTATGACTCATGACTTTATTGTATGATTTTGAGAATATACTTGTGATTGTGATTATGGCTTGTTGAATGGATCGGGTGTTGCGTTCCGACACACTAAATGGGAACGGTTGCCACGTTCCGACATAAACATGGATCGGTTGCCACATTCCGGCATAAACATTGGATCGGATACCACGAACCGGTACACTAACAGTTTGGGTGTGGATTCTATGAGAGGACCATTGACTTGACATAACTGTATATCTTGAGAATTTTGAAATTGTACGTTGTTCGTAAATGATGTTGATATTGTATATGTTCGGTGTATGCATGTTATTATTATGTTATAATGGCTTATGTATGTTGCACTTAGTGGAATAGCTGCGTGATCCTACCAGTGCATCGTGGTTGTGTATTGATATTGCACTTGCTCTTTCTTTGTTGAGTACATGGCATCTTCAAACGGCTATTGACAGACCTCGTTTAGAAGATCAGTGATCGTTTCAAATTCAAGGGTGAGCCAGTTCTTTCGGGACGTCATGAGTTCTCTTCTGTTTATGTCCACATTTCGGACTTAGACTTCCTAGCTAGTTATTCGTATGTTAGTTGGGGTTGTACCCCTTCTTGTTTAGACTTATGGTTGAACCTTAGATGTTTT